AGCCTGGCCTGCCTCTGTCTGAGGCACCTGCGGTCAGTATGCCTCGGGGGACAAACGACCGTGGGATCCTGAGACACTGACATGTAGCTGGATAGATGATGTACTGGTTTATTCTCTTTTTCAGTGCGATGGGCAGGGGGCATCTCTGGCTCCTCTGTGGAAGCGAAGGTGGCGATGGCCTTGTGCTGGAGCTGGTGATACTTCCAGGGAGAAAGATGGGGTATCAGGCGTGTGGCTGCCCTTTGGTGCCTGCAGCCTAGACTAGTTGGATGCTCTGAGATTGTCTGCATTACTAGCCATGATAACATGCAAAGGCTGCAAAATTGCCTTCGGGTGAATTGCTCCTCAGACCCTTTGCATAATTACCTGCATTGCTGGGACTTCCTCTGCAAGCGGTTCTGTGACTCTCCAGGGAAATGTGTGATGTTCATCTAGGACATTCATCCACGTGGCCATCTGATAGTGTGAAGACAGATGCAGGACAGGATGGATACTGAAGCTGGAAAAACTAGCCAGCCAGGCGGATACACAGCTTTCTGCGGGCTCCCTTAATGGCCAGCAAGTCTGAGTTGACTGCAGTCAAGCTGCCTAAAGTACTTATGCTGATAAGTGTTGTCCGCTCGTTCTCTGGATCTCCAGCCTTTCAGATGCTAAAAAAAACAGTGACCACGTGGGAGCAGAGCTCTGCAGAGGGGGCACGCGGTTCTGGCTGGCTGCTCAAGTTGGGTGCTGTGCGTTGGGTGCTTGTGTGCTGGGTGCTTCTAGTCACTGTGTCCTTCAGCGTTTGCGAAGAGGCACTGCTGCACCAGCATCACGTGCAGTGCTGATTTCTGCGTAACTCCTTGCTGATTGGGACCCGGAGGGGAAATTGTCTGTATCACAAGGGTAACTCTGGATGCCCTGGAGCATTGGACAGGGTGAAAAGGAAACAAGAGGAACTACTTGATCAGTCGTAAAACCCAAACCAAATATGCCCAAATTTTACATTAAACCCAAATAATCTTGCTCTGTCTTGCTAGCCTGTAGAGTCCAGCAGAAGAAAGGTCTAGCAATTCCTAGCAGAGGGATATTTTCCTCTCAGAGGCGATAGGAATGGTGCTTAAAAGCTGCTGTGATCTGGTGATTTTGTAGTCTTGTGGCCCCTAAAGAAGCTCCAGTCTCTTCCCAAAGTAGTATCTAGCCAAATTCATTTATAGGCAGTAAGGTTTTATTGAGTGGTTAGAGGAGAAGTGCTCAACATCTGTGGGGAGAAAACACACTCAAACACAGGCACGTTTCCTGCCCTGAATGATCTGGTGGGTCGTGAGAAGCGGACTGTGTGAAGCAAGTAAGGGGAGCCAGTCTTGAAGCGGGTGCTGTGCCAGGGACTGTGTCCCGTGACAGATCCTGCGATCCCCACATGTTGCATTTCTCAGCAGTCCTGAGTCATTGGCCTTCGTCCCCCAGCTTACGTGCTGTGATCCGTGAAACTGCTTCCCCTGGGCACTTCAGATGGGCCGTTGCAGGTTGAGAAGTAAGGTAATGCAAGGAGGAGCATAGGTCTGTAGTGTCCCAGGAAGAGCGCAGGCAGAGCTGTGCCTGGCCCTGGTACGGCTTCTTCCCCTCCTTTCTGCTGCTTTGGATTGAGGAGAGCAGAAGGCCCCCCGGTAAAGCAGCGAGGGGCAGGGAGATTCTCCTATAAGCTCAGAGAGCGTACGAGCTTCTGCGTGCTGCCTGTTGTGTGTGCCAGTAAACGTGAGCTCTGGAGGAAAATGTGTTAGAAAGCGTGAGAGCAATTGCAGAAAAGATCTTTTACTATGTGGGTCATCCCCTTGCTTAAATTTTTTTTCCTGTTTGCACAACAGGTCTAGAAATAGTTTCTGTCAGGCCAATAGCTGTTGCAGCTGCTATGCAGATCCGTGATAGCGAAGGATCCTCCTTGGCAAGGCGTATCTCTTTTGGATGGAGGCACTGTGCCAGATAGTGCTTGGAAGTGCACAGCAGGCAGAAGGAAATGGCTAAAACCCAGCCCCAGCTGGAGTATCATCTTCTCTGGGGAAGCATCCAGGGGACACCAAGAGCCTGAACTTCCAGAGCTGAGACCCTAAAGCTGTGCTGCTGCCCAGCACTTGTGGTCATGAGCTCCATTTGCTTAATGTAGATTTAGGAATAGTTTTGTAATCCTTACGGTCTCATTTAAGTCACGTGGTTTCCATGTGTGCTGCCTGGTTTTACCAGGTAAGGTAGCGTGCCCCTGTCCTGGGAGATGATGGGAGCAGTAGGAAGCCATGAAGGGTTGGTCACCGAAGCTGACATCTGACTGGCCATCTCACTGCTGACACATGTTCAGAAAAGGCCTGACGAACAGAATTTGCATTGCTTTTGCAATGTCCCCTCTCTGTCAGTTTGGGGCTTGCAGGGTGGTTGCCTGAACTAGCACAGCCAGATGTTTCTAACTTTGTTCCTCTGCTTCTTTCTTTCCAGCGGATCGCTGTAAAGAAGTACAACAGATCCGAGAGCAGCACCCAAACAAAATCCCGGTAAGTTATCATTCTCACTGTTCTGCATTAGACTTTGTTCTCATGACCCCACTGTGCTGGATAGCCTCCACCAGCCAGCCACGGAGGTTACAAAACTTTGCTCCCCAGAATCAATACAGAATGCTCTCCGTAGGCCTCCAGTGCCTTGTGCATGCCAGCTGCTCAGTAGCAGACCCCATTCTCAGCAGTGCAAAATACAGTCTTTCTCTAAAGCTTCATGCCTGCCCTAGAGGCAAGGAAATGATTTGATCTCAAATCTACTTCCAAACTAGTGCAGCAGGAGAAAATTATGATTTTTTATTTTTTTTTTTTTTCTGCGGTAGCTACCTGACTTTTACTGGATAACCTGGTAGGGACTTCTCTGCATCTGCCCAGAGAAAGGTGTGTGAGATGATCTTTGCTGTATTGAAAGCAAAGAGACTCTATTAGGATAATGAGTTTATAAATGCTGCTCAAGCCCCCTTTGCAATGGGACTGGGACCCCAGGCTCTGCCCTAAGCATTTCCACCTGCGCCCAGCTCATGTTATTCCTGCAGTTGAGATCTGTGGTGGGTTCCCACTGCAAGACCAGGTGTCCCACAGTGAGGAACCCCTGGCCTGAGGCAGCAGCTTGAAAGAGGATATGGGAAGGGAGGTGCCTTTGTATACAAGCCCTGTGGCTGCAGGGATGTAATATCAGCATTTGATCATGCATTTCCCTCCAAAGCTAGACAAGAACGTTTTGTCCATTGGCCACCTGTTCCCATAGCTGGGTTACCCAAATAGCGGCTCATGTTCTGGAAAGAGAAACTCTTGGAGCTGTTGTACATGACAGGCCCTCTGTCTGCTCAGGGCGCAAGGCAGCTGTTGCTTGAACAGCCAGGACATCCTTCTCGGCCTATTCTTAGACTATTTGAGAGGCTTTTCTTTGTGGGATGGAATTGTCTGGAGGTTAGAGATGTCTGCCTCTGTTCCTGATAGATGTAAGTGAGAAACGAGGCATAGCCCGGGTGCACAGGGCCCTCTCTGCATGTAAAGCTGTATGCACAGACGGTCGCTGCCTAACTGCCCCTTTGTGCAAACGAGGCCCCGCTGTTGCCTCTGTATTTCCCAGTGGCCAGAGCAGCATCCCTGTATGTGGCTGTTGTGAGGGTCCAGCCCTTGAGACTGTTCATCTCCCTATAGCCAAAATACTCATCTGTTCAAATAAGACTCAAATTAAAGACAGTAGGATGGTTCTGCTTGTCTTTGTCCTTCCTCTGCCCTCCTTCTGCAGGGAGGAAGGGATGTTAGCAGGTTGGTAATGGGCACCCTGATGCATGATTCAGTCTGTTGCAGAAAACTGTTCTTTATCTTGCAAAAGGGGCTAAAGGAGCAATACCTGGCTTTCCCTGGTCTTTTCCTCTGGTGCTCTTGCTCAGTATCAAGAGGAGACACGGCCAATGTGAGAATACATTGGTGGACTCATGGGGACCTTCATATGCTGCTTGTCTGTCCCTTGGGCTCCTGGGTTCCCCTTGTGTGAGCTTTGTCCAGGATGGG